TCAATGCCAATTGCGGGCGTTATTTTGGCGGTAAAACTATTAGGATTGTCGTTGCCATATAAACGCAAACTAGCCTCACTTGTTTTTCCGATCTAAATTATCAACCAGGCTCATACAAGCAACAAATTAATATGAATGTCTCGTTCGGCTGAGAAATGACTGACAATCTGTTACCATAACTGAATTCCAATCATTTTGTTGTTTGTTCGTTTACATGAAAGCGTGACAATGCTTTCAATAACTGAAATAGCTTTACATGGTTGAATCCTACCGAGTAACGGCCGGTGATCGGATGCCAGCTGCACTCAATCGTTCAATGAAAGTGAGCACAACATTTCACTGTCAGTGTTTGCATAGCTCAAAACATTCAGAAACCACATTTGTTTGTTGCTTTTTTACTCCAGTGGACAATGTTGCTGTAACATTTTATTGTGTTTTTTTCTATTACTAAATATGTAATGAAAGTTGTAATCGACATACCTGTCACATTAATATTATAATTATTGTATTTTTTGTGTGCTAAATAAATCCCATGACTATGAATACGAATGTAAATAAGAATATTGCTACACCAATGACCAGCTGTTGCCCGTTAACCTTTTCCCCGGGCAGTGTGTTATAACGTTTCGGAATGATTGGTCATGCGTACTTGTTTTTAAAGTACTGTGGGAACAAGGGGAGGGAAATATAAAGAAAAATTGACCGTCGATTAACCCGACGAGTGACCAACTAGTGCAACGAATATTCATCCAGTAAAAGATCTTATATGAAAGAATGCAAGGGTTGTGATGGAAACGAGGATGAACGAGGAAAATATGCAACACACGTACTCTCGAACGTGCTCCTAGGGCTCCTACATCCAACAACAACAACAACAACAAGAACAAGAACAACAACAACAACCTGTAATCCAGCTGACGTGCACGTTTTACTGTATACTTGTACCTCAATAACTGCTGGAAAGCGATCACTAGGCACCGCAATGCGCCAAAATTCGTAACCTACGATCACGTGCCTACGATAGTCTACAAGATTAGAAGACGTAACTCCATGTGATGGCGTCCAAGAGGTGTCTCCATGGTACTATGCCCCGAACATTGGTCCGCCGTGTAACCGAGCAGTGTACCAGAACACGTTCTCACATAAATGTTTTTTGGGGGCTTTATTGTTTGATGTGTTTAATTTCTAGTAAATTACATTTATTTTGGTGGTATAATAGAGTAAGGATATGTATATAGAAAAGGAACCCGGCGGAGCCGATACGTTTATTCTCCGTCCAGGTCTCTATGCCATATAAGGGCCTACAACTGATATCATAAGTTTATCAAACACATGAGAACAAGCACTTTAATCATATACTATAACTAAAGATTCACCACAAAGCGGGTATGAAACATAACAAACAATTAAAATATATAAAGAAATGAAAATTAAAATAATGAAACTGGAATGGAAACTTTGTTTATAGAATAGAATTGAGTCCGACGCCAGCAACGTGTCACATCTGAAGAAAATTGTGCAGTGATTGCGTGATTGGAAAATATAATAGTTGAGTATGATCACCGTAGACTGAGCGGATCTAGAAATGCAGTCCTGATTATTCGCCAGGATCAACCGTTTGTTGTCCGTTAACCTTTGCCCCGAGCAGTGTGTTATAGGGTTATATGATTGGTCATGCGTACTCGTTTTTAAAGTACTGCTACAAGCACGTGTATTGTATAAAAAGTTTGGTCATCACGTAAATTTTTTCGGGGACAACAAAAGATAAAAATCAACGTGTTATCTTCTGTTCTGTTTCTAAGTGAATATATTGAAATCACTTATACGTACTTTATCTCAATGTGTAATCTAAAGACTTTAACGTCACAGTGATGGCGGAGCCGGGTAACTCGGGGGGTGGGGTGGGGGGCTTAGATATGCAACCCTGAATGAAAAATAAAGTGTAACCATGGGGATAAGTATGTTAGCCATGTACGTCGTGTGTATAGTACTGCTTTTCGAAAATGTTAAATGTGCATTTCACTACAAATGTTTCAAATGTGAACGTTTCAAAATGTCAAACGTACATTTCAAATATAGGTTTTTAATTTTTTGTCTTTATTGATGCCGAACTCCTCCGAGTCCGGAATTTATATTTCTTCTCTAAAACAGCAAACCCAATTTCTTTCGAAATTACTGCGTATTACTACTATCTTGGTGGCTGGGGAAGTTAATTTCCACGTGATTTTTACAAACCATGATAGGTATCAGGGGCGGATCTAGGATTCTGGAATGGGGAGGGGGCGAAAAGTTGATTGAAGGCCTAGTTAGCTAGCGCCGATGGCCCGAAGCCCTTGCGGAGGGTAAAAAATAGGGGGCACGGTCCCCTTTAAATCCGCCCCTGGGTACACACGATTGGTTATGTATGTATCGGTAGAGGATTGGATTTAAAATATGGTAACAGTATTGTCTGTCGTATTCATTTCACTGTACCTTCATTGAGTCTCTATTTTGGAAAAAAGCTGGAAGAAATTCAAACTGTAAGAAATTCATGTAGTCAACTGGGACAGTGTGCGTGAGTAGTATGTTCCAAATGTTTTTTGTTTTTGTTTACACTAACTGTGACCCAGATGCTAATGGTAAATTCTTGAAAAGTTTTCAGTTAACTTTGCTGAATTTTGTTTTACGTTATGTGTCGACCATTTGAAATCATAGGGGGGCGGGCAGAATTGTTGAAAAAAAATGTAATTTAGTCGGAAGAAAAAAATGAAATATAAAAAAAATACACTGGCCACCATATTCCAGTCAAACGACCCCCCCCCAATGATTTCAAATCGTATATCACGAATATGGCAAATGCAGAGTTATGTGGTTCAGAAACTATAAGCGATGTCATTATTTTAGGGTACTAGTATATATATATATATATTATTTTGCTTTCAACTATCAATGTGTGCGTGTTTTTTTACTTTTTTTAAAAAAAAAACACGAAAGAATCTTGTTCTGAAATGTTTGATGGGGAAAAGAATTCGGTCAGCAAAACATCATTATTAATTTTATTTTTATACGATTGTTTCTAATCTCTTGTTTACTTCGTTAATTTATTTGAAGAGATTGTTTATTCCATGGTGATTATTTTAATTCAAAAAGGCGTTCCACTCGGCATGACTAATGGACATACGCCCTTAGCAACCGATCGGCAAGTTGATAGCTTGTTTGCTGGAGGTCGTCATTGCTGCGTCTTGTATTAGCATATTTTAATAAGCCACGTGACGACATTCTGAATGTCAGCGGGCTGGCGTTGAATCCGGTTGAGCGGCGACAAGTTGTTTACTTGAAGATCGGAGAAAGTTTATGTTACTTCAAAGCTACTGGGCGAACAGTGTTTTGGTTATGTCACCCTAGTACACAGCCGTGTGACTACTGAGGGCACATCGGGCGTTACGTCGCTAAAATAAAGATAAGAAGGTACGTACAATGGTCACCGGGAAGCCCGAGTCGCCATGATAATTGTAATATCGATTTGAAAACCACTCGTGGTGCTCAAAGTAGTTCTATAAACTTTACACTGTCCCTCGCATTAGTACGATCACATTTTTATTAAAGGTCTAATCCCGTGAACACATATAACCAGCGAAGTTGATTAGCTTGTCACAACACTCCTTGAAGACATGAACTGGCACCCTGGGGGTATTTTACGACCATTAATTTTAATTCGCCGTGTCGAGGTTCTTCGTGTTTTATTCGGGAAATTAAATAGGCTTGTGAATTAAGTTTCGATTCCTAAATTCAGTTCAGATACCTGTATACTTTCTGGGAACTATAAAGACGACAACACGACCGACTACTATAATATTTTTGATATTTGATTTGGGGTGTTGATCTATCGAACTGTATTTTGTATAAATAAACCATGGTCGTGAAAAGTAGATTGTATTTCTGTCCAATGCCCAATATATAGATTTAATTAGTTTTCCGGCATCGTTTCCGTCGAACCTCTTCGTAAAATCACTGCCGGTGTGTTTTCAAGGAGAAAGGAAATGATGCACCTTTTCAATTAACTTGGGTCTTTCTGGGACCTAGGCCATCATATTAAATTAAGCGTTCATAATGCCCCGGACAACGAACTACAAATATCATTAGCCTGAGTTGACCAACATTGCAGGGGATGTATTATGGAAACACAAAGGCACACAGTCATCAAAGAGCTATTGAGAAAAGATTATCACTCCCTAGACGATATCTGGCTTTTGTTATTTTTTTACTTATGAAATCTATTCTCACTTCCATAAACATTTCTTACTGAACATTTCTGTAGGCAATAAGTTAAAAAACATGCACCTCTGCCACCTGTGGATTGTCCGCAATTGTTGATAATTTGTTTATTTTTCTTGACAGAATACACAGAATATTAAACAATGTTAGACCCGAGTTTGCCCTGGCTAGCCGTGGGCTATAGAAATCTCAATAAAGAAAAGTTTACTCGAAGACGTTATGAGAAAGAGGACTACAGTAGCACTTTGGAAGATAGGAATACAGACGAAGATGTGCGTATGAGGTCAGCGGTGTCAAATCAACGACAGCGTGTCAAGAGTGCGACAACGTACAGGCATTATTATACTGCACGTAATACATCAAGACCTAGGAGCGCTTCTTCTGTTCTGAATAAAGTAAACCGACCATTGAGTGCACAATCTGGCAGGTATGCCGCAGACGGTCGATATACACCCAGTGATCAAATGTCTCTGTGTCGGCTTTCATCTCGGCGGAGAGTCAAAAGTGCTACCACTCGTAGACACGTGGTGCCCTTACAGAAGAGCCACACCCTCATTGAACGTTTTTACCACAATGAAAAAATAACACACATTAATGAACATGAGCATAGCTCGGAAGACAGGTGTGTTTATTGTCCGGTGGAATGCCGCCCACCTTCTAGCAGCACTAACAGACCAACGTCATCTACTGGATTAGTAGCTGCAAGACTGCCATCGCATTTTGATCGTTTTATTCACTGGACCCGACCCAGCACAGCTCCTGCAACGGTAAAGCTTGACAAATAACTACACACATGCATATATTAGGTGCTTTAATAACAACAAAAGTAAACCTTGACATACAAAAAAAATCATTATTTTATCTAATAATCTTCATTGAATCTTCATTGAATCTTCATTGAATCGTATCCTCATTAGGATCTTGATAAAGTTGTACAATAAAGGAAAAGAAAAGACACGCAAAATAGATCTTACATCTAATAATAATTATTATTCATCTAGCACCAAAAATAGTAAAATTTGTCATTCCATAAAATGTTTTCAGATTTTCCTTCAAACAAGGTAAACTACATCTCTAGCATAGATGTGTTCTCGGTCATTGGCATCACATTCAAACACTTTATTTACATTGGACGCAGAAGCGTTATAGCACGTGATGGAAAAATAATCCAGCCTTGTTATCACAACACAAAGAACCCACATTCTCACAACACAAAGCATTTTCTGTTGTTATTTTGGGCTATGATCTCTCAATAAATTATTACTACAAGCAGGAAAAAAATGTATAATAATAAGGATACTGCATTGTATGTACTCAGGCAGTATGGGTTGCATCAACCTCTGCTACACGTTTACCGATACAATCACCGTACTGCCTAAGTGCATACTTTGCTGTATTCTTGTGATAACCTTATAATATTTTGATTGTTTACTCTAAGGCAGGTGACACTTTGTTTTTATTAAGATTTTCCTCCCTTAAATACAGTTGTGTGTATTTAGACAGTGCTATTATTATTTTATTCCTTATGATAACAGTAACTGTTTGTATGCTCTCCTACTGTCTGTATGTTATACTGATTGTAGGGATGTTTTGTTTGATAGTCAACAAGTTTGGGTTGCACTGCAGTTTGTATAGTGTGCTTGTATACAACTACACCATGTATAAGTGTACTTGTGTGTGATTACTCTACACGAATATTCATTATACCGATTTAAGTGAACATGTTTTTTACATACTGTAGACATGCCCTTTATTTTGTTGGTATTTATCAGTCACCTTAGTAACCAGACCCAATGTGATATTTGTGTTGTCAACGTGCTATGATTGGCATCTCTGAGTAATAAGCTGATAAAGCTGGAATACTATGCCATAAATAACAGCAAAGCAGCGCAGCGTAAAATTAAAAAAAAGAAATGTCTAAAAAATTGTACCTGTAAAAAACGTGTTACAAAACAGTGAAATTGTGCAAATTTTAATATTATTGAGTCTGGTTGTGACTAGCTACAAATGAACACAAATTGAGTGTTAGTGTAGGGGCAGGGGTAATGACAGTAAACAATTGACATTTATAGTGATAAGGGGGATTTGTACAATAGCTTTAGTTTACTTTAGAAATCACCTCATCTAAACCTAGCCTAACCTGTCATTGTTCAAGGGGACTCTTGTAACACAGGTGTTTGTACTCGAATACTGTAACCAACTTTATTTTCACAAGACAAATTTTCGCGTGTCGGTGTAAATCATGAAATTTTTGTAGCAGTGAAAATTTCTTTGGGGTTCTATGACGTGGAGTACCCGTACCATCTAGTTTTCGTGAAATTTGTTCTTAACAAATGTTGTTAAACCATTAAATCGGTAAATTTCCTAGAAGTGAAAATTAAGTGGTTTACAGTATCTTCTCTCTAGGCTTTATGTTGCATTTATATTGTTTTCACTATGAAGACTTGTCATGATATCATTTGATGATTTATGGGTGTTAAGGTGAAGTCATTGTGACCCCCCCCCCCCTCTCTGTCTTGATAACCACACTGAGATGAATTGTGAATTTCATGTCATCAAAATATTTACGCTTCTACTGGTAAATATTTCACAATTTACATAATAAACCAATTTCATTAAGCTGATATAAATGTTTGTGATTTTCGATTTGTTATTCGACACTGTCATTGCCAGTAAAAATATTAAAATGGCCGGTGGTTCAAAGTTTACGCTCCTCAACTTACACATGTTGCATATTTTCAAGAAAACAATTGGATTTCACTTTTATTATGATGTGAAGACAGTGCTATTAATTTAAAATTTGGTTTTTCATAGTGTAAATTGTTCTATGTAATTTTTGAAAGACTACCTGTAGTCACTATTACATTCATTTCATTCAAAATAACAAAGAAATTATAGTTAAAAATATGCAAAATATTTCACCAACATTTTTGTGAAAAATTATTGCATTCAAAAGAATAAATAGAAAAAACCTAAAAAACAAAATTTGTTACAGTTTTGTTGAATTATTGATTGACATTTATTGAAAAAATTGGTTCAGTCATATCAAGCTCTACTAGTCCATTTAAATGTTAAACTAGGATCTTGATTATAATTTCCGCTGCACTTATATCCTTTCATTTCTACTTCTATTATTGTATACAAGTTTGTAATGTACGGCTGATGTCAGCGTGTGTTATGTTTAATTAGGTTATACATAGTAATAACACGGTATTAGTTCGTAAAGTGATTACGTCAATATCTTCATTACATCCATTGCTGCTTTCATGCAAGCAATTATCCATGTAATTTCAGAAATTTGAAAGCGTCTTTACAGTTAAATTGGTTTTATTTGGCGCCTCAGATGTCCACCCACTCCATGTTTGTAAATTACCTACTCTGTGATATATTAGAAAATAAATGCCTGGCCTTGTGGGTAATAACCGTTGCCGTCACCGGACACTTAAATTGTCACCTTTAAAATATATCAAAGTCAAATTGAGTTTTTAGAACGTTCGCCCTTGATTTTGTTCAAAGTATGCATACAGATCTATTAATGTTGATATGTCTTGACACCCTCCCTTGTAATAATGTATATGGTTGCTATGACAATGGTCATTACTCAGAATTAAAATCAAATGATTCCTCGCAGACGCATACAGGAGTAATAATATTTGTCTATAGAAATAATAGACCTATTTAGCATATGGTTCAGACAGGATAACTCCCTTGGTTACTATGGCGATTCTTTAAGTTAAGTAACCGTGTGTCCTCGAGCATAGTGTTATTAAATACGAGTATGTTTATCAGTAACCATGGCATTATATATTAAGGTTGTGTGGGAATTTTGTGGTTGACCTCTGTTGACCCTGTCTCAGTTTATTCCACATAACATATCGTTCCCCTCAGCGACTATTGATTTTGTTTCGTGTTCTTTTGTCTTTTAGAGAAAAGAATTTTTACAGTTACCCAGGCACAATGGTGTAAGTATTGATTATTGTTGTTATATGTAACATACGGTTTTATAAGTTTGGGAAATAATGCCACAAAATAAAATTATAAAAAAGCAAATAAATTGCTTACATAGTGATGTGAACAGAATTATAGTGTAGTTTTTCATGAGACATTTACACAAAAAATAACAATTTTCATTAATTCACTATATTCCTGACAAAAATTGCCCACCACACTAATTTGACAAAAAATTCAGAGCATTTTATCATAATTTTTGTTTTTTCTTCCTAAATATTCTGCCAAAAAACCTTTAAAAAAGATAACCCATTATGAAGCTAATTTATTTGAATTTGTATGGTTTTGGTGCAAATTTGAGTCATTTGAAATCTCTGGTAACCAGGGCAACAGGCCATGCGACATTGTAGTATTGATTGTATTATTAAAAAAAAAACGATTTAAATTAGCTGTTCAGACTGTCTGCATAAATTAACACCTTCATTAGATGAACTACGCAAATTGTAGATATAGCAAAATGTGTGGAAATATTACAATTTGAACAAGATTTGTAAAGAGGTTTTGAATCACAAGAGAAATTCAATGATGATCAAGAATAATCGGCACAACTAAGGGATTGGTCATTGGAGATGATAAAAAAATGGTGCAAAAAACATAGATTTTTTTTTCAGGATAATGTTGTAAATATTTATTAGCTTTCCTCTATCCTATGTATGAAATATACCCCCCCCCCCTCCCCAGTATATATTTTTTATTTCTTACATCAGAACCTCTCTATTTGATTCTCAGCCAGTAATATATGCTTGAAATTACGATGTATTGGTTGTCTGTCAAAGATTGTGCATGCTTTGATGACTTACATGTGAATATGCAAAATAAGAGTATTTCTGACCCATTTGTTTTGTGAAACAAATATCAACAAGTATATATTATTTTTGTCAATTTTAAAAAGTGCCAATTTGCCATTTCTTCCTCAAATTTTCAAAATCATGAAACCCTTCTAATGGTGAAAGTTAAATGCTTTACAATATATTGTCATATATTAGGCATGTTTATGTAACTAATTTGCCATGGTAACAGTGTTTTATTTACATTAATCCTAGACTAAATACTGAGGTGGTAGGTGTGTGGGGGCTCAGTGTTTATGTCTAGGGATTGTAATTACAAACTATATAGGAACAGTAATGCATATGGTCTGGCTGCAAAACAATCAAGTCACTTCCATGTAAACTGTGACATAAAACAGAATACCCTGTCACCAATAAATAACTTATTAGTGCTGAGGTAACGAAGGTGTTCATTTTTTATATTTATATTTATTTACAAGTATATGGAGGGGAAACTGGAAAAAGTGATCAGGGTAAAGACATGTTTCCTGTTCACTTAGAGGGCTCTGTTTTTATATTTATACTGGTAATATTACTGTAAAATCTGTATTAAAAGCCGCGGCTACTATTAAAATGGTACAATGCAACAGAGAGAATGCAGATTCTATTAGAGCATCTACACATATGAGAAATGGTGAATTTTTGGGTCTCAATTGTTCAAAAAGAATGGGTGCGACTTCTATTAGGGATGCGGCTTCCAATACAGATTTTACGATACTGTACTTATATAAAGTAAATATGTAGCTACATATATAAAGTCTGAAGTCTATTCACTTTTTTGTCCTGAAATCATTCTTCACTTCATCACATTAACATTGACCAAAACAGGATGCTTGCCAAAATTAGCTTAACGCTTTGGACACCAAAGTCAACTTATATTTCCTTTCACTAGATTAACCTGCATTATTTTTTACAAAAATGTTAATAAAAAATGTTAATTTGGTCAGAAATTCACAGACTAATTATACAATTATCATCATTACAGTGTGAAAAATATGCCAAAATTTGATGTGCATCTTTCATATTTTTTTCATATATATTCACAATAAAAAATGACTGATTTATCATAGAATATTAACCTTACTGTAGTACAAGTATGTTATACCAGTTATTTATAGTTACTACACTTACTTATAATCATTTTGTCACTCTAGGTGAGGCGAGGCAATGTGCCGCATTATACCAATTTTGTTCGACGAATAGACTTGGGAATTCGTGATAGGACTCCATCACCACCACCGAGAACTAGGAGGGCATTTGAAGAAGACCAACCAAGATCAGTATCATCTCTATCGGCCGTCCATTCAGCTAGTAGTCATAGATACGAGAATGGTGTTGATGTCGGGATGCACAGTGAAGGGGACTCAGACTGGCAGGATATTGGTAAATGTAGTATTCCAGAAACCTTTGAAATATTCTCAGTGTTTCTAATTCTTCTCTCCAAGTACATGTAGCTTTATAGGTTTAGGGAAATGCCATGTATAGGTGACTCCATCTGATGCATCCTCCCTTCCAACAGTTCATAAAACTGTTTTGAGGTAACCATATATTATTATTATATGTTTGTGTTGGTGAAACATAAATAAATAAATGAATAAATGAATGAATGAATGAATGAATGAATAAATAAATAAATAAATAAATAAATAAATAAATAAATAAATAAATAAATAAATAAATAAATAAATAAATAAATAAATAAATAAATAAATAAATAAACAAACAAACAAACTAGTAGGCTGATTGGCAATCCGATGAGGGATGCAAACAATCATTTTTTAGCCATTGCCATGGCAACAACAAGAAATGAATTTTTGGCAAATTTTTCCACCTAACTAGAGTGCAGGTGTAAATTGCCTGCCAAGTTTGAAAGTAATCTACCCAACCAAAAAAACACACAATATGTATATGTGGACAGACAGATGATGACAGGCGTAATGATTATAAGAGCAATCTTTGCTGGGAGCAAATCGCGAATAAATATTTGATGATATTAGTATTGGTGCATTGCATTGAAATACTATTTAAAATTAGTTAGTTTATAAAATTTGAACACACAAACAAATTGGAAGTCAAAACGATCACAAGTATTAGCATTTTAAGTTATTATATATTCCCTCAATCTGCACAATTGAATATATCATATATGAGTCCTGAGATCTAAGTAAAGCACAATGGCGCTCTAAGAGTTCAACACAAACACAGTTGTGATAATCACAATCACACAATTGCAATTCAGCTTTACTGTAAATTCCTGCAATGATTACTGTCGTCGTATTCATGTGACTCAGTGAATCCTACACTACAACATTAACCTAATGTACATACAGCTGTTAAATGTATTCTAACAAACGTAGTTATTATTCTTTTTCTTTTAATTCCCGCAGCAGACATCTTTATCTGTTTATATTGGTTTAATATTAATGAACCAGTGATAGACTAAAGCTTTTTGGCTTAATCACACCTTAGGAACGGATTAAACACTGTTGTCATTTGAGCAGACGTTTTTCAATAGATAAGCTATAAATGGAGTAACATTTACTGTAACTAACGACTCTAAAATGGTCTTCTTTCACTTCCAGAAATCCGTGAGGAGCTTGCCCCTGATCAATATGGTAAGTTAATAAAAAATGTGAATATTCAAAATGTTTAAATTTTCCTGATATATGATAATTTGAGTAAATTTATGAGGAGGCATGAAAGTAATTATGACTCCCTAGAACCCTGGTGAAAGCCACTGTGACTCCCTGGGGCCCTAGTTAATGCCACTATGACTCCCTAGAACCCTAGTAAAAGCCACCGTGACTCCCTAGGACACTAATGAAAGCCACTGTAATTCCTTAGAACCCCAGTGAAAGCCATCATGTATGCCAGTGAAAGCTACTGTTACTTCCTCAGACCCCGGTGAAAACCACTGTGACTTCCTAGGACCCCAGTGAAAATCACTGTGACTTCTTGACAGTAGTTATGAAATTGTCACAGCAAAAAAATGTTATGAATAGTTTAATTATTTACAAATTTGTTGTTATTTTCACTCAATTTGATGATATTTTCGGACTAAAGAAACAGAACAAGAATTCCTTCTAGGTTATAATAGGTTTTTAAATCAGCGTTTTTGAATGGAACTATTTTGTAGAAGGTTACAAATATTGGTAATTTTATAAGTGGCTCACTAATATTTTAAACCTATCACAATTCTAGTTGGTATTCACTTTAAAAGCATTTTATTCTCATTTAGATGAAGAAGCTTATGATGATGCAATCCATATCCCAACGCCGACACCGGAACCAAAAGATGAAGAATTATTTAATGTAGTACCGCCAGATGAGGTATCTCAGGCTTGGCTGGAACATGTCCCTCATGCACCTGTGAGTAATTTAGTTAAGAGATTTAAATTTTTATTATAACCAATGTCACCATCAATGTGCTTTGGTTACCATGGTTTAGAATTGTCTGAGCTTTCGCTAACCCTTTGCTTGTCACCAACAGTCAATTGCTTTAGATTTGGCGACAATGCACTATGCTACTTTTATCACTATGACTAATATCAGTAAATAACTATCAATTACTATGAGAAAATTGCCATCATTTATAAACATGTCATCACCCACTAAAAGATAAATTAATTAAACACCAGAAAAACACATAATTCATATTAATAAGGATATTTAAAAAAGTAACCTGAAATTTAAGTAATTTCATTCTCTTGCAGTATATTTCCGTAAATTTGTTTGTCACACAAATTCTTGTGATTAGTGAAATCTTTTCTGCATATCACTATAATTCATACCTTTATTTATGATCTATTATTATTACCAGTTGGTTATGAGATTAAATAAATAACAGTCAATAGGGAAAAATATCAAAATAACACATCAATTTGCAATAGTACTACTATAACACTCCTCGTTTTATTGTTTAAATTCCTGTTTGGAGAATATTGCTTATTTCCATTCCTATTAAAGATTTTTATCAATAAAATTTATTCCATCTTATTCCATAAATATTATTTCATCTATTTAATTGAAAACTAGCATTAAACTTGGTTAAAAATTGGTTCAAATGTCTTGAAATTAATATGACAAAAAAGACGCTGGCTGTGAAAATTAATTTTAATGTTTTCCTTTTCAGACACCAACACCAGCAACATCTGATGGTATTCCTACACCACGGAGGGAGCCCTCACCACCTCTATCTTCAGTCAAAATGTCCTCTCAACGTGTAAGTAAACCCACAACTATAGACATACCAGAGAGAGTACCTTCTCCTCCGCCTACAAAAACACCCACCCCTCCATCATCGCCAAAACCTAAGAAAGAGGTTCGCATACAAGAAACAGTTCAGACAATCCCATCCAAACCTAGAATACCCAAGGAGAAAAAAGAGAAGAAAGGCGGGCAGGTGCGAAGAGTTTCAAACGCAAGGAAGGAAAGTCTGAGACCAGAAATACTGGCTAGCCTTGAGCCTGCACCGGTGGAAGAAGAGAAACAAGAGGTGAAAGAAGAAAAAGTTGAAGAAGTTGTTGAAAAGCCAGAAGTAATTATTCCAGCACTGCCTGCTTTTCAGGAAAAACAACGAGATCCTGTGCCTGAACCAACTGTGTCCGTAGAAAAACAGTCTATGAGGTAATTAAACACTTTAAAGTCCTTTGCAAAGCACCATGGGATGAAATGTGGAAGTGTTTGCTAATGCATATAGACTTTAATTAAATAAATGCAAATAGGCAGTTTATTTACTGTTATCTGAAAGTGATTGACTGTAGTTTATTCACAACGAACCTTTGATTTTTTTTTTCTGTCATCAAATTTGACTAGGTTTTCTAAAAAATCTTGATACATGCAAAATACTAGGAATGAAAAAATGATTGATTTGCACCTCTTATATACAATGTCACCATTGCAATTTGTAACCACTGATGTAACTAGATTTATTTTTGGAACAACCAAAAATACAGATGACATTCGCACTTAATATATTGTTTAACATTTCCGGATATACTGGGATGACACAGGAATGACCTCATTGTCTGGTTCGTTGTGCCTACAAAGGGGGAGGGAGACTCTATCAGAGTTTTGCGTGTTCAATCATGCATGCATCACTTTTCAACCATGTCACGTAATATGTAAAAATTTTAGCTGATGAATAATAATAGTCACTCAAACTTCACAAGAGACATATGTCATTTTTTTTTTTTGCAATCGTCATTTTAGCGAACAATGCAATATTTTTTATTTTAGACATTTATATATTATTGTATATTCAAAAAAACAAAATAACTTGGAAACAACTCTACATGTGAGAAGGCTACTGCCTCTAACTGAGATTCATTCACCCAGTTTTTAAGGCCAACCCTGATAAAATTGCCTTATCTTACAGAAATGTGAGAAATATCTGTGTTTTTCAAAGGGAACCACAGCAAACCCAAGGTATCAAGACAATTGCATTTGTCACCTTTATAAAGTTTAAACCCCAAATCCATTTTCAATGTACAGAATGTTTTTAAATCTCATTTGGCAAAGATAGCTCTTAAACTGTGTGTCCTTATGGTTTCCAACAACAACACAAGTAGTGCTACTGGATTCCTCAAATGCTCTGCTGTTTGGTATCCAATTTGACCTGTTTCTATTCTACCTTTCGAGTGGTGTTGACCTGGCAAGATCGTGTTTCACCGACCAAATTCCACCCAGTACGCCCCCGTGCATTGACAGAGTGAATTCAATAGACTATAAATGACAATAGTTAACGACCATTGTCAATATAACATACAATTGCAGGACACTTGATAGCTTTTGACAAGTAAAATTGAATTGAAGTCTTGTATATGTCATTGAGGCAATCAATCATGTCAGTGACGTTACTATTCATTAGCAAACCAACACTACATGGACAATTTCACTTTCATTCTATGTTGGCAAATTAATGTGTGTTTTGCTCCAATTTGTTCAATTATAAACACTGTTTTGTTTGCTTTGTTGGTTTTGTTTGAAAACACATTTGTAGGCTGAGCTAAATTATATATATATTTTACTCAAAGCGGGAGGGTCGTCACCTGCACACGCGCGGGAATTGCGTCCCAAGCGATGATAACAACATGCGCTAAAAAATGCAAAGGCTCATGGGTACATGCTAGTTTGTAAACATTGACATGCTATGGTCATCTGACGTATGCGTAGGTGACAACTCCCCTGCTTTAATATAGGAGAATATATAATACATATATTTTGATATGATATCATTGTTGAGTCTGTCACTGATATCATAGAGCTTGTTGATATGTTTTATCCATAATCTGACATAGATAATAACCCATGATATCAATCAGTTCTAATTAATTTCACCCTACATTAATTGATAATAATACAAAAAAATTATATTCGCTTGCTATATATTCCTATCATATGTACAATATTGGGGGGGGGGGGGGCAGAAATGATATCTTCTGATAATTATCATTGATAAGTAAAATCCGCTTAATTAAATCTACATAAACATAACAATAAACTCATTGTTTCCTTGACAAATTTGTGAAATCAAAACACAGTGAATATAATACTGACATTTATTACAGTTATTTGATGTGATTGGTAGAAACTAATGTTGCTGTTGAGGAAACTCTGGTGACAATTAAATTGGTTTTCACAAATTCACTGAATGTATTTCATTAGTGTTGTAGCTGACGTTGTAATCAAAGAACCAGAACCAGAACCAGAGGTAGAAGAACTGAAAGAAGAGAAAAGAAAGAAATTGAATGATCCACCATCACGTAACAAAGTACAAGATTTGTTTGCTCTAGATCCTAATGTAAGTATTTTGTTTGATATCACTTTATTATTATACATCTAGCACAAAAAAAATTGAATTTATGGGTTTGTAAAAAGCTGTATCTGCACATGTTCAAGATTATCTGTCACATTTGAACTCTGTTTATTGTTACATTGTATGTAGAAGTGCTATATTGTTTGACTAAAATAGAATCCTCTCACTGAATGTAAATCTTTGCATAGTACAAAACAATTTTGTTTCTATTTTAGGTTGTTATCTTTCATTAAACTATCAGTACAAGTAGGAAAAGATGTACCGTAAATGCATTAATTAATAACTGAATTTTAATTTTGCTATTTTTGTTGATAAGGAAAATACGCTAAGTTAAATTTGCTAAAGTCATTATTTCTTTGACATGAAATTGAAACCATTGAATATGATCAAAATAGCGAAATACATGGTTTTACAGTATAATACCAGTAATAAGGTTTTCACAAGAATGCCACAAAGTATGCACTCAGGCAGTACAGGATTGCATCAACGTTTGCATACACATCTGGCATTACAATACTTATGGGTATTCTTGTGATAACCTCGTGAATATTATTACTGCCTCTAAAAAGAAATCAAATTTGTTCCCATGGTAACAGATTACCAAATGTATGTTATTTTTTTTAGGCGTTCTCAGCTTGTATATGTGTGAAACCAAAGAATCTTCTTCTCTATAATTAATGTTATTTCTATTTTTGTTTTCTTTCCTTTTTTTGCTTTTCCGCTTGCTGCATTCTAATCCAGGCTATGAAAGTATGTATATGTCTATATCTTGTATGATTTCCAACCATTCTGTATTTTATCTCTGTTTAATCCATTCTCTGACTGCATCAACCATTCCATGCATATATTCTCATCTCAATTGTATTAGATTTCATTTTGCTTTGTTCACAACATCACATGACTTTCATGGTCACATGACTATACTGGCTACAGGACTCCATGCTATACGTCTTAAACATTTCATCAACAAAATTATGGTAAAAGTAACATATTTTAAAACAAACAGAATTAATAGATGACATAATTATTGAATCTAATCTCTTATTATTTGGAATTGGACTATTTTAGTGGAAGGTCACAAAGTTGACTAGTGGTGAAAGGGCTACAGTCAGACAGACATCCATCTTCATTTGGCCAATAGTCTGGACAAAAATAGCAAATGTAGTGGTTTTGGTTGCTACTCTTCAAGATCAGTTCTTATCTGGAAAAAACTATTTTTTCGTGTACGGGGGGGGGGGGTACTTTTATTTGTGAAAATACAGAATATAGTTTGTAAAATAATCTACAGATGCTGCTGTATTATTCTTTAAAATTTCAGTTTGATTGAAAAGTCAGAATACTTACACTGCATGAGTTTGTTTTCATAGCTGTTCATGCGAGAAGCTGAACACAAACAACTTAGTACTGAAGCCATTGTACAATTAATGTCTGTTGAGGGCGCCCTTTTAAAATACAACACACTCTAGCAGTACATGCCATTTTGAGAAAGCAACATCCATGGCTGCTTGTAGAGGTTTCAAACTACAATTTAACACCGATGTGATGACAGTCCTAAAAAAATTGCATAACAGCTCATACAGCCACTAGTGTGTACTCACAATTCAGAAATTAAAAAAAAAAATACTTTCTCTAGTTTTTCAAAATCCAATGCTGTTGACCGAGATGAGCACTCACTGCAGTTGTTAAGGCTAACATTTCAAAAGCAGTTTCATGAAAATTTTACTCTGATATCTAAGGCTTGGTTATGCTGATAGCATACCGGTATATTTAGAAAAAAACATCGTTTTTATTTAGAAAAGCATGCCATATCCAATGGACATTTAAAGAAAATTATGTTAATTCTTGATTATTCAGTGCCAATGTGAAACCTAGAATAAGCCTTAGTGATAATGATTTCTGTGGTTTATTGTAAAGAGCGCCCTCTATATACAACATACTTCATGTTTGTTTCAGTGTCAAATCAATAAATAATTTAGAAAACAATTTGTCCCATCTCTAGGTATATTTTGATTTTGTAGGACAAAATCATAAATTGCACTATTCGGGAGTCTGCCCTGGGAAAAAAAGAACATTGGTTATCACTTATTTCCAGACTTAATTGGATTTTGTTTTTTTCCCATAGTGTAATTCTCTTTTGAGAAACTGTGTGAAGTTTGAAGTTGATGCTGGTCTTCTTTGAACACATACATACACATTTTCAGTAAAACTATTGTTATAGCTACTACATTAATAAGACCCAGAAATAATTTTTTTTAATTGCCATAAAAATCATGCTTTTACTATTTTTCAAAAATTCTGTCTAAAAACCCAACAAAAAAATGGGCTCACTTTGAACTTGCTAAGTGTAATGACCAGAAACAGGAATAATTTTGTCTGTACATAACTGACCTAATCTTATGATAATATCCATTTCATACTTTCAAACTAGTCATCGGTTCAAAATTCATACAGCATAAAATTTTCATATTTGTAATAATTATTGTTTTGTGACTATATTCATGAAAATTCAATCCCAGTCTGTCATATAAACAGTTGGAATGCATTCTTCTCAAAAAATTACTTAGAATGGCCTTTATTTTCAAACTATTTACCTACATATATCCGCTTGTAACACAATTTGGGTTGTATATTTCTAGAAACCAGAAAAAGCATGTGTTTTTGACAAAGTGAATACATAAAAAAAGAAAATCGAGTTTGGAGAAATAATCCGGGAGATAATTTTATAGTCTGTTGCCAAAATCTTGAATAAAGGGGATGTTGTGAAAATTTTAATAATCGAAGACGAAAATAATGTTCAATTCTGTTCACATTCTTGAAATACAGTGACATGGCGTTTAGAACCATGTTCGAAAACTTGGGTAACCAACTATTTTGTGAGAGGTCCCCTGTGAAATAAACTTTGAACTATATGTATGCTTTGCTTAACCTTTTCAACACCAGCCAACCTTTCACTCATTTTACAAAATAAACTTGTATATTAATTATTTCAATTTTTTCAAAAGAATTAATCCAGACCTGCAGCTAATGTGAAATTATATCCATTTTGTCTAAAATTATAGAAAAATTGTAGAAAAATTATAAAAAAATTATAGAAAAATGTGCAAAATGACGTTGTACCTAAATTTGGCGAGAGAAAAAAAAAGGTCAATTTCTGTCAGCATAGGAAATTTCCATGTGACATATGTGAATAAATTCTACAATGATGTATGACCTTTTTGACTGCTTTTGTTCATCCCCTACAATATATAGTAATTAACATTGAATACATTTGAATATTAATTATTCTATTAATTCACATGAATATTGGAAAAGGTGTGTCATATTTTGATTCTACTTTTAGTTCATTTTGTTTCATGCCTAAATTAAGAATATACCGGTAATACATATTTTTAATGCCATAATTTTTTTACACTAAAAATTTGGTCGAAAATTTCACACATTTTTATGTATTTTTCTTTACTGGACAAACAGACCAAACATTAACCTGTTCACCACCGGTTCCCTCTTCATCACAAATTCGCAAAATAGTCTCATTTATAGTCTGCACTTTTCTTCAGAAAATTGGGACAAAAATAAAAAAAAAATTAAAGTAAAACCTGAAAATTGACCTAAATTTTGTCTGTTGGCTCCGATGGTGAATAGGTTTAAAATGTTTTGTAAAAATATGAAAACAAATCATGCAGGTTTATTTAGTGAAAGGAAAAAAGGCTTACTTTTGGCGTAAATGGTTAAAAAAAATCAATTGTAACATGAATATCAATGAATGAATCTGAGTCTGAATGGTTCTGAAAAGTGTAAAAATTGGCTCTAACCCATTACCCATTCTCATTATCCAACATATCATTTCGATATAACACTTTTAGTCTAGGCATAATTCATTGAACCTTTTTATCTATTCTCACTTTGAGATACACACCTTGTGTAATCAACAGTAAAAAAATTATAAAGACAAAGATATTCAATACCTAGTTATTCTTTTTTTGAACTCGTTAAAAACGTTGTGGATTTCTGCTTTTGATATTGTTGTTTAAACACTACCGGTAATTAGTAGCTGTTCTCTTCATTGTCATCGCCAAGGACATTCCAGATTTTAAATATTCATATTAGTGTGAATCATGAAGGAGCTCTCCAGTGGGAGGGTCTTCACTCCATGGAACATCCCACCCTGCTAGATTCATAATTGATTTCTTTTGTGGGTGAGGAAATTAAACAGAAGAGCCTTTAATATCCACAGAAAATAGTGTGTAGAATATTACAATAACCAGGATGTCATCAGAATTCATATTGCATGTTTTACATGCGTTACCATAATAACAGAACACATGACCTGTTTGGATCTTGTCTAATTGATGTGCCGTACGTATTGAAACGATTTCTTTGATGGTCACCTTTAATCAATTCTACTCTAATGGGTAGCAAATGTAATTACGATTAGTATCAATACTGGGTGTCACTGGGCTTTTTTCATTACCCTACTGTCTTGTCTCTTAGTATTGCATTTTGTTGACATCATCCTGGACAGAAGCCGCTGGTAGCCATCTCATACCTTTTTGACTAGTGTAGTATTTCACTCGCTTGACACTCATTCCACTAATGAAATGTTTCAGTTGCGTGTGTGTTTTTTGTTTGGCATCAGCTTCTGAAGCTACAGTCAATATTATTTTAATACCCTTTTGTTTTTGTGTAAACATTGCAGGAGTTACTGGACATGGAGATGAAAATGCGACGTCGTGGTCCTGGCAGTCAGTCTGACGCTGACTCCGCGTATATGGACTTGCAGGCTCCGGCCGTAGATACTATGGATCGAGTGAGTAGACGACTCAATAATGTTACCAATCTTTTCTTTTTAATGTTTTAGATATGTATTTTGTTGTGTGATATTTTTCTTCTTGACCTAAGTGGTTATTTATTGTGATTAGTGTAATTTTTGTCTTGTTTTTATGGTATATACAGTGCATGAATTGTTTTTCATTGCTAGCTTGGCAGCTGGTTTATATCGTGTTCAATGCTGTGTTTACTCTTAGTTTCTATGGCTTTCCTTTGTCATTTTCTGATTCATATTTTTTTTTTAGAAGGAAACATACTGAATAATTTTGTCAGCTTAGAGGAAAATAAAAACTCCACACAAAATCTTTTAAAATATTTGTTAACTGTCAATGTTGTTCTCTTTTGTATCTTGCATTCTAATCTTGTTTTATCTACTAAATAATGTCCATATTAAATATTTTTATTCCTGCATACATCACTGGATTTATGTAATACCTGGTAATATGTCTTATTTTTATATCAAAATGGAATAATTTATAAATTTGGAGTTCATGTTCTAGTAATTATTTATTAATAACAATGTTTTGTTTGTCTATGCAAGTGTTGATAGATAGGCATTTTGTACAAATTGTCATTTTTCACTGTAAAACCTTGAATTAGCATTTTTTTCACTTTAAAAGTCTTGAAATGTTCGTCATTGTGTTATATTAGGTATGTTGTAAATGATTGTGTATGTCTTTATAAATTAAAATCAATTCGTTATTCATATCCTATGCATCACCTATTCAGAAAACACAAAAACAAATCTAATTTAATTTAGATTATTAGTATGTATTGTATTTTTAGTTCATTTTTAACTCAGAACATTAGATTTTATATATTTTCATGTTTCTTATTACCTGAATATATATTATATTTAGATGTTTTTGCAGATTTTGGTTAATTTAAAAATCAGGTTTTTTTTTTAACTTGTGAATACAATCATGCTTGATGCCAAATGTACTGAGAAAAGAATTGAAAATTGAGGTAAATTCAAAACTCCAAGTAGAACCGTTTGCGTACATAATAGCAGAGCTATGGGGTTATTTATATTAACTCTGATGTTAAAAAGCTGCAATAGTATCCGAGTATGAATGTGAATCCATATTTGTTGCATATTTAGATGTTTCGTGGCCTAAATTGGTTGGTTCACAGCTTTCACTTAGAATTACCACTCAGTGACAGTGCTCCTTTAGAATCATTTCGTCTACCGTTATTTGCTTTCTGGTTCACTTTCACCCACCAATAGCCATTGTCCTGTCAATAATATTATACTCTACTCTATGACTATAAAGTATTGAATGCTTAGAATTCCTCTAGTCCATGCTTCGCATAATAGCAATGTGCAAAAGTGTCTCTCACTCTCGCTCTATTTAATTTATTTTCATCTGTGCCTCAGTCTCACGCTCTACTGAATCTTGTAGTTTGGTATAGCTCATGTGATTATGACCAGTTGCGAGAGCCGAGAAATAAAAAAAAAAAATTCCATAATCTTAAATTGGCAAAAATGTATAAATAACAAATTCAGTTTGATCATCATTCACATATTTATTATAGAATGTGCTGTCAAAGTCATGATCAGAATAATTGTCTCAGCAAGTGTTGATGTGTTACATAGGTGCATAGTTGTCAAAACATTGACTTTGGTAGTGACTGATATGTCTATTAGATAGGTAATTGTAAATCTGTGAATGGTCGGTTGAAGCGTCATTTATAAATGTGATAAGTTCTCATACCTTTAGAATTACCCCTCTTCAAAGTGAACATCTTTTGAATTGGCAACTGTAAATAGACACCTCTTCGTTGCTCAGTGATGGTTTTCTTAAAGAATTCTTTGATTGGAATGTGAGTAAATATAATACATATCGATACAGTGTTTCCAAACTAATAACTGTTCTTATTATCTGCTTTTCATCACAGAAATCTAAAATACAGCCGTGGTTGCAAGGGCGACTGGCGTTCTCCAAACAGACAGCACGATTTGAGATTCCCATGGATGTTAGAGTTCTGAAGAACATGACGCCAGTCGAATATCTCACTCAATACTGCATAGTCAGTAAACGAAGACAAGCATTTTATCGAAGACATTTTAATAAAGTTGATAGAGACAATGATTTGAAAATTAACAGAAAGGTGAGTTGTTTACGATCGTAAAAATATTTTAAAATTAATTCAAATATTTAAATATGCCTGGTTTTTGTCTCCCTAAAACATGGCAACGGCCTGAATACATGGTTGCTATCTTTATTGTGGTAGCCATCTTGGAATCTGTACAATGCATTTTTAACAGTTACCAGCTTGGGGAAAATTGCAAGGTTAATTTTTTTTTTTTCACTAATGTCATGGCTGTTCTAGATCATTATTCTGTGTGAGTGCGTTGTCATGGAAATTAGTCCAATTACAGCCATATGCTAATACCATGGCCTTAATACTGTCAAATTAGGTTGCATTTATGTACTTTTAAATTCTTAATGATTGTAAAGAGGAATTTAGATCCGTTATTTTCAAGTGAGAGGAAATTAATCTCCATGCAACATGATATATTCATGAATCGTACTTGTTCCCATTATGGTGACTGATTTTTATCACTAAATGATGATGGTTTGAGAAATGTTAATGTATAAGGTCAGAGGTACATTTACTTGGGGTTTGCAACGCACATAGTAAGGACATCCAAGTATCCTAGTTACCTCGGGCATGCGCATTCGCATTTTTCTGAGTTGGAACGCTTATGTGAGAGCAAGATTGAAACGGGATCTTGGTATCATGTCACCATAGTTGCAAACCCCAAGTAATGTTTCTTTGATAAGGTATGACTGATTTGTTATGTGAAAAAAAGCCATTCAACTTTTTAGACACAATTTCAGTGACTTAATTGTGATTGTAAAATTTGATTTTATGTCCAGCAAAAATAAATTGCATTTTTGCAATATTGATATTCTGACAATAACAACACTTGAAAGCAGTGACGTATGAAAAATCAACTTTTGTACGGCTAAGTGGCTTATTTTGTTTTATTTTATTTTTAATTTTGAAGAGATTGGACTTAATGATATGTGATAAATATTGCAAGGGAAGCAAACTCATAATTTGCAAATGTTAAAAACAATCCTTTTATTCTATGTGTGTAAATTAAACATATTTCTAACCAATAGCGTTACAGAGTGGTTAGAAATGTGTAATTGCGTAAACAGAAATGAGCGAGATATATCGCTGTATTCAAAAACGCAAAAATCAAATATTACACTCTTTTTCACAACCCAAAACATTGTCAAATAAACACTGATTGTTTTTTTCACAGACTCGCTAATTTGAATTACCGGTAAAATTTTTAGAAATGTTGGTGCGTACCCCCATCTTATAAATCTTTGTAATTAGTAATCACATTTTTGAAATATTCTAAAAAATATTTAGTGAAAGGTGACAAAAATTGACTTGCTATTTTTCAGACAAAATAAATCTGCACAAATTATTTCATTTTATTTTAAATGTTTTGATTAAGACCTGAAGCTAATAGGAAATTATGTCTACTTAATACAAAATTAAAAAAAATTCAGGAAAATAGATAAAAATGTACCATAATTTTTTTCAATATTTTTTGTGCCAGGTGACAGTTCTGGACATTGAATGTCACAGTCTCTCCTGACTTTTTTTTTTGTATGTGCAAATTGCAAGTGCTGACACATAGTGCATTTTTGCCACAGAAGTTATATTCATGTTTTGGTGAGAAAACACATTATAAATTTTTCAAGGCAATAATGGTACAAAACGACTTACTGGTCTAAATTTCTAATTAAATTACAACATATATATTTCAGGAATTGGAGCAAGCGTTGAAGAATGTCCATGTTGATGCGATCACGTCTGAAGAAATAGACAAAATTGTTGAGTTGGTCGACCTGGATGACGAGAACTATAAATTTATGTTTAAATTATTTTCTGCCATGTGTGCACTTTCTGAACGAATACTTTATCCAAACTTTGTGTAAGTATTAACACATTTATTTGTTCCTTCTTTATCAGTTTTATTGTAGTCTTGTCAAAAATTCACTGTACATTACTTGGCTTTAGTTTTGGTTTATTTGACTACAAAACATGCTAACTTAAAACACTAATATGTGTGACAGGGTTTATATGATAACAGTTTGAAAGTTTAGATATCCATGTATATACATGTATATATATCCATTATCGTCGCATATCACACCCATTGTATGCCCTTATTTTATACACCCTTGATATGACTAAGTCTGGAACTTATGAGTCAAATGTCAAATTTATCCATTTGAGCACATTAATGTTTCATGCACCTTTTTACATATTTTTATTAATAATAATTTTTTGTAGATTTAATTAGTGACAGGTCCTGATCAAATTTTGTTGAAAAAATTGAACAGGTTTATGACAAAAGTTGACTTTGTTGCTCACAAGATTTCAACAAATATTCCGAGAATAATTAAATTGAAAGCGAGAAACAGGAACACATTCCTTAACATTGTATATTCCTTTGTTTAAGATGTTTACATTCTGTTTTCAACTGCATAAGGTCTTTTCACTGTAGCTGTTTTCAAATAATTGTCTGGGCCTTTTCACTATAGCTGTTAATTGTCAAATTATCGTATAGACCTTTTCACTGTGGCTGTACCCACATAAATCGCAAAATTGTGTTTGTCCCAAATATATTAACGGTGAGCCTTTTCTGTCTGGTCTGAAATCGTTAGAGAATTCACGCTATTTGGAATAAAATATCTGTTCCTCCAAAGCTTGTAGACTTCTGTGCTACATTTCTCACTTTGTTTTGTTGTAAAGAAAAATAATCTTGAGACTGTCACTAAGAAAACAAACTAATCAACAACACTGACATTTGACATTTTTGCATTTACATTTGACTGTCGTACTCATCAAAATTTATGGGAAGAAATGAACTCATATCGATGGTATTTTGATTCAAAGATTAAAAATTTTAAAAAAACAAATGTTATAATATGGATTATTGCCATGACATGATTTTTATTTATTGTTGTGTTTTCAGAACAGAGGATACAGCTCATTTACCCGAGCATCAGAAAGAGAAAGTTGAAGATGCTGATTTTAGTGCCTTGGATTGGAAACTGGATGGATATCCAGTTAATCCACCAGTGAAAAAGATCCTTTACATGCTATGAGCTGTAAACAGAGAATGTGTAAACACTTCAGAGAATTATTAATGTCACACTTCAGAGAATGTGTTAACACCACACTTCACTTAAGTGAATGTGTTAACACAACATTTTGGAGAATGTGTTAACACCACACTTCAGTGAATGTGTTAACACCACATCTCAGTGAATGTGTTAACACCACACTTCACTTAAGTGAATGTGTTAACACAACATTTTGGAGAATGTGTTAACACCACACTTCAGCGAATGTGTTAACACAACATTTTGGAGAATGTGTTAACACCACATCTCAGTGAATGTGTTAATACAACATTTTGGAGAATGTGTTAACACCACACTTCAGCGAATGTGTTAACACCACATCTCAGTGAATGTGTTAACACCACACTTCTGTGAATGTGTTAACACCATACTTCAGTAAATGTGTTAACACCACACTTCAGTGAATGTGTTAACACCACACTTCACTTCAGTGAATGTGTTAACACCACACTTCACTTCAGTGAACGTGTTAACACCACATCTCAGTGAATGTGTTAACACCACACTTCACGTCAGTGAATGTGTTAACACCACATCTCACTGAGATGTGGTGTTAACACATTCACTGACGTGAAGTGTGGTGTTAACACATTCACTGAGATGTGGTGTTAACACGTTCACTGAAGTGAAGTGTGGTGTTAACACATTCA